AAGTTTTTCTGTAATAGTTCAGCTAACTGGCGCTTTAATTCGTCTAATTCTTTATAGGACATTCAGTAGATGAGACAGATTGAGGTATTGTAGTATAAGTAAACCAGGCGAGAAGTAAGAAGAATATTTTAACTTTTTTTATGATAGGAAAACCAGTTTTGAGAAGTGAATCAATAAATTGTATTATTTTTCTGATATAAATGTATAACAATTTGGTAGCAGCAAACTTTATCCACATACTTACACACAAATACCCTTATACACCACATATACTAAACATACCCACACCACTTTTTTTTAATTAGTACAATAGACAACTTATTAGCTGCCATCACCACATTGATCCAAACTCAACAAGGATTGACAGATCTCTCAACATAGAAGAGAATGCAAATGCCAATGTGAATTTAGCATAGCTTGTCCTTAATAATAATAACAACACCCCAAAGATTAGTATTAAAATCCCAAATTACAAGGGTGAACTACAAAAGAACGTTATTGCCTGGCTACTCCAGGTTCAAAGTATCTTTCACGCACAAGAAATTGATGGCGATGATATTCAGATATATTATGTAGCCACAGAATTCGAAGGAGCTGCTTTGCATTGGTATTTAAATAAAGTTACAGCTGCAGGGAACGACGCCGCATTTGATACATGGAATGACTTTGCAACAGCAGTTAGACACGCTTTTCAACCCCCTAATTATCAACATTACCTTTGTCAATAGCTCAAAAAGTTATATCAAACTGGGTTTGTTCAGGACTATGGAACACAATTTCATAATATCATAGAACAAATCGAAGACATGGACAAAAATGATAAAGTTACTTACTTTATTGAAGGCTTTAAATATGCAACTTGGATGAAAGTCATCTATCAAGCACCAGCCAACTTGAATGAAGCATGGGACTTAGCAATTCAGTTTGATACTACAATGTTTGGAACAGGAAGACCCTCCACTACCACCCCTAACAAACCACAACAATATATAAACAAACTAGGAAAAGGGAATGGCAGACCTGTACCAATGGAACTAAACTATGCCAGAAGCTCTTCAAGTAGTCAACATCATAGAAAAAAAAGGTGAAATTATTTTAAGTATGGAATGTTAGAATATTATACAAAAAACTATAGAAGCAAAGGAAAGCAAAAACTTACCAATATTAAGGATGAACTTAACCAGCCACCACATACCATAACCAACAATAGTCTAGAACTAACACAAGTAGAAGAAAATCACGAATGGTTATTAAAATTTAATAGCAAAATCAATGGTTACTCTGTTTGGATCCTTCTTGATAGTAGAGCATCTCGCAATTTTATTGACAAAGATTTTTCCACCTGGAATAAACTAATATTAAAAACCGTTTTTCCCTTATCAGTTAAATTAGCAGATAGAAGCAAAGCACAAACGGATAAGACATTTAACATAAATAAATTAGAACTAGATCCTTACTACACTTCTGGGATATCAACACAAGTCTTGAAGCTTCAACATTACGATACTATTCTAGAAAAACCATAGTTGTATTACACCAACCCCAATATCAATTGGAGGAAAAATACCTTGGTTTTCTAATATGGATCCAAAATTATTGAAGTCCAAGCAAACTTCAAAAAATATCTAAAGATCCTAGTTGTAACTCAGTATTTATATCCCGACAACAATTAGCCAAAGTGTCTGACAGTGAAAAAATTTTTTACTATATATATTAGTCAAGAAAGTAATAAAGATGCCAATATCTAACAACCAGAAGTTCAAAAGATTCTTTAAAATTTTAAGGATGTTTTTTCTAAAAACCTCCTGATCATTTGCCTTCAAAATGAACTGTTACTATGTCATTGATCTTGTATCAGATTCAGAACCCCTATCTTGTCTCATCTACTGAATGTCCTATAAAGAATTAGACGAATTAAAGCGCCAGTTAGCTGAACTATTACAGAAAAACTT